TATAAACATATTTAACAAGAACATAAATTTTACATAAAATAAAAAAACTTCAAAAACATTACATAATTTCCAAATAAAAATGAAACAACTAAAACCTACAGATCACTGTCACCATCATTTTGCGCTGCTGGTTTGAAAAATTTGTCTAAAGTTGTTTGTCTTATCTTCTTGTCTATTTCTTCCTTTAGTGATTTATAACAGCTAAACAAAATTGAACACTTTTATAATCAAATCATATCGATTGAAAAATTGGAACTAGTTAAGGACGAAGTGATGTTGCATTATTAACAACAATCAGAACATAATAATGTGACAACCCAACGGCTGATCTATCTTTTTTATGAAATATTATTAGAATAACTCTAATACTGATGACTTTTTACTGGATGTTTCAAAGCCAAGTAATGGCTATTTTCACTTGGAAACATATTACTATCTATATTTTCCAGTGAAAACTGATATCACTACTGCTCGACAACAGGCTATAGAGGGCGGAAACGGGCTTGTTTTTATTTGTAAATTATTTAATAACTGTGTATGGCATCGTGCTTTAAGGCAAATTGCTGCATTTTTCCGTACCGTAACGAAATGATCGATTGCTTTTTCCTCGAAAAGCAATTGTTTCGTCAACACAAGCAGAAAGTTTTCTGAATCATTCAAATCGAATGCTTAGTTCTCTTAAAAAATGCCATGTATTGCACATTTAGCTCCGTATCTTCAAAATAGCTGGACCTTTGTCAAAAGCTAATCACCACTTTTCCAATAATTACAAATTAAATGTTTTTTGGATCATGCAAAACGGATACTCCATTCGCTCAAAAACTCGATTTCTATTTTCTGCACTCTTTGCTTCATGTCTTCAACGGCTGGACCTGCCTTTGCGAAAAACTTCAACGCTTTTATACTAATCAGCATATCTCTCTATCAATAGGAATCGAATGTTTTTTGAATGTTGATGTACATCATTTTTTTTTTAAGTATGCCAATATATTCAGAAACTCCTGAAACGTGAAGATTTGCAAACATTTTTATTTTAGATTTTTGGACCATTACTATACGGGAAGTTAAAATATAAAATAAGATAAAAAGTTGCCTTATTGTTCAAGAGAGCCTTGAGTTAAACTAATTATTGACTAAATAGCAATAAGAAGTTTATAGTAACATAATACTGGTATTGATTCTGTACAAAGATTTAAAGGTTCTATTACTTTTCCAAGAAAAGTTTTTGGTGTTTTAGTATTTTGTTAGCTATATTTTTATTTTTTACTACACGATTCCAAAATAGATTTGAATGTTATTTTTATTACGTTTCATTGACAGCAAACACCTATTCTCTAATTTTGTACAAATAGATCTATATAAAAAACGAAATACGTAAAGTAAAATATAGAAATTATATATAGTTTAATTGCCATATGATTTTGAACTAATTAAATATTCATTTCGAGTTTTAATCCTTTGACGACTTTGTGTACGAATGTCGCCTATATACGACATCCATTGTGTCCACCATTCCTTCAATACCTTGAATTATTGAGAATTATAATTTGTAATTGTAATTTGTAGTTCTTTACAAATGTAACTTTTAATTTTAAAATATGTTTTTATTGATAATGATGCAGAATTATTGCGCAAAAAATGCTCGCTAGCTCGTACAGCAGTGTCACTTCTGGGGAAAATACTATTGTAGCCAGCGGGCTAAATTTGGTTTGTTGTGATTCTTTTTTTAAGGTGTAGAATTAGAATTAACAATTATTCCTCAGCCCTCGGTTTATTTGATAATTATTTAGCGGTGCAGTTTCTTACAAAGAATTATATCAATTACGACGTGTTTCTGTAAAATGTTTTGTGCTTGACAAGTTTATTTAGCTTCGCGGTTGAGTGATTGCCTAATCGACAGTCATTTACAGGTTTTTCATACATATTGCAGTAAACGATTTGCTAATGCGATATCGATATTATTTCAACGCTCTTATACATTAACCCATTTACATGAATTGACATAATGTATTTATAGATATGTAAAATGAATGCCACACATTATGCGACTTTTTTTTAATAATTTTACTTACTTATGTTATTAAACTGAATCTAAAAGTTCCATACGTTGTTACTTTGTAATTTGGGTGTCGATTTCAAAGTAAGTTGTTTTGACGTTGCTCTTTTTTTTCGGCTGAATATTTAATAATTTAATTATCTGAATGCTACTCTTCTTCATTTAATGACAAGCGGCATTTTTAGGTGTTGTAGTATTACTTACATGTAATCAGATTTTTCACATCTAATAAGGAGAACCTCTGGTTTACTCTTCTTGGATTTTGATGAAACTTTGCATGGTGATAGAATTGATAGTCCAGCCGAACACCTTAAAATAATATACGGCTATGGGAAGTGGTATAATTATAAAAATTAATTAAATCAATCAATATGTCTCGATAGCCTTATTTTGATTCATAAGAGAATTAAAAATGAAATTTATTTCTTATTTTTATTTTAAAGCGGCCAAAAATTGGTATATTATAACAAATATATAAGTACGTACGTATATATAATATTAAGTAAGTGAATATGTTCTCTGTATTTTTAAATGATAATATATTTTTCAAATTAGTTTGGTTTATAAGATTTTATTGTGGAAAATCATTAATATTATCGACGTTTCAGTAAAAGATTCTGCGAATATGAGTCTCTTTACGAATGCTTTTATTTTAAATTATTATATATCTTCATTGCATGCTATATCGGCGGTTTGCTCTTTGTACGGAATATGAAAAACGTCATGTGTAGAAAATTATTCTTTCCTATGTAGCAAAACATGTCAGAATTTTTTATAGCATGAGAATGAGAAAATTACTTATAAGTAATTACATAAATATGCTCGCTTCTTTCTAACATGGACTTGTAACTGAAGTTTTTACTATAATTTAAAGTATAAAATATTTTCAAGACAATGATTGCAAATCTGAGCACATAGGATTTTTATTAAACATTCGCCAGGCATCGTTGAATAATGACTTACGGTGCCGGATTTTTGCATTTATAGTACGGTTACTGGTATTTAGTTTATGAAAAGTCAAAGGAAACCAAAATAATAAAAGAACAAATTTACACTAAAATGAAAATGGTCAAATTTTTATTTTCATTCAAATGCAATTAAAATGCTATTGGTACTACACAAGAAATTACTAGATTATCTAGAATATATAGAAAAGTGTTCTATCCGTGAATGTGCAAAATTTTATCCATTTTATTGTATTGTATTTATGGATGTCCATCAAATTTCAATTAAATTTAATTGAATATTCCTAGTTCCTAACGTTTTTGGTTTATTCATTATTTTGAATTTAACTTTTATATCGATTTTGTACAAGCCTCAATAACATAACATTACTTATGATCTTATGATCTTAAGAAGCAGACTTCGTTTTAAACTTATCAATTTGCTTCATGTACTTTTCTAAAATAATAATACTTGAAACTAATTTTGAATGTAGTAAATGGTACAAGATTCAAATGCAAACGGTTCAAACGATTTAACTGGTTTTGAAGCCAAATTGTAGTCATATTTTATTAACCAAATATTAATATGAAAAAAGGTTATTATATTTTATACATGAACAATAAACTTCCTACAGTTTCTTTTTTTAATAAATTACCATATCAATTTTATTAGTTATAGCTCTCCCACTATCTCAGATTGTGTAAATTCGCACAGTGGCTCTCGTCAATATGTGAAGCACGATTTCGATGCACAACCGATGAATTATTCGCACCAACAAAAAATTTACATAGGATATAATATGCTAATGAGACGCACATGAATGTATTAAAGTACGTTTATCTATTTTCAAGTAAATGTAACCAAAGTTAGAGAAATACCTTGCGGTTCTTTTATTGTCATCTTGCGTCTTGAAATTATTGCTGCGTGCGGTTGAACAATAGAATATACAGTTATCTTAAGCGGTTTCAAGTATTGTTAATAAATTACGTAATAAGTAAAAAGTTGCTGTCAAATATTAATCTGTTAAAACTTTGATTAAATCAAATATTTTTTGTGTTTGTCAAAAGTATTTATTGTCAATGAAATCGGCTAAAAGAATTACAAGATTGGCACTCGCAATTTCAGCGTATAGAGTAGGTCAGTTCCATTGTCATGTTTAATTCTTAATAAAATTTTCTAATAATCTAACCTAGAAACCGAACAAATGTCAAAAAACGATCTTAGATAACAGGGTGTTTCTGACCCAGCTCCATAACATACGAGTGACGTTGCAGTTCATGTGTAAAACTGGAGGGTAACATAATCGGTTCCTTAGTTCTGCATAAGCTATGCTTTGGAATTATATTACTTTGTTAAACAAGTTTTTCAAAACAAGCCAAATCTACCTTAATTAAAGGGCCTATTTTCGGAAAAAATAGAAATGTTATGGAAACGCTATGTCACGGACCTATCTTTGGTTCTTTGGATTTTGCATGAATTGGTAGTAAAGAGCTATCAAAAAGCTATGTATTTAGTGTGCGATCAGGCGTTTTACTTATAAAGTCGAACCTACATAGCATTTTGACACCTCATTACTATCAATTATGAAGATAGGCTCGCCTATTTAGAATTGCCCTTAAAGCTATATGTGTTATATAAATTAAGATAACATTTAAAATAAAGCCTATTGAATAATTTGTGTACTTTTTCAAATTATACGCAACAAATTTATTACTATCGTATATTTTTAAAACCTCTCATAAACATGAGCATATCATATAATTCTTTAGTGAGAGTGGCCAGGTGTTGCTATAATTTGCGCCTGGATTATACTAAACCAGCAACTGTATAATCTAATAAGCATATTTGCAATATGTATATACTCTTGTTTTCGACTGATTTCGTTTTAGTATTGCTACTAAAATATATGAAGTTAGTAAAGTTATTCAGTCATAATTCAAACTCAAAAACAAATTTTACTAATAACATCTAGTAATATATATATTTTTTTGACTTACAGGTCTGTTTAAGGGTTCGACGATGGCGCTGGACAGTCGTTGCCCAGTACCAGCTGAACGACCAAAAACTTTAAGAAAACTTAAACATGTTTACGAAAATACACATGTGACGCAAAATCAACCGTCAGCTGATGACTCATCTGAACATTCCGGTGGAGAAAAAGATGGAAAAGGTAATATTATAGAATTTCAGTTCTAACGTCGTAATGCAAATGCTCTAGTTGTTCCTATTAATCATTACCTCGGAATATCGAAAACCAAGAAAATAGAACCGATGTTTTATTCCATTTTCCATGCACATTTCTGACCATACATAAAATATAATAATTACAATTTCACCACTTCATACTTCATTGCAGTATGTAATGGTCGCATATATATTTCATTAAGTTACAACATCAACTTCAGCTTTGTTTAGTTCAATGTTTCGATTCAGTTTTATTTTTTTATGCATATCGGTAAACGCGCATAAACTTTTTAATAATTAATGCTTAATTAAATATTAAGCATTGTTATTCTATGTTACTATTCAATGCAAATCTTATACATGCCTGTTCACGATCGTAAAATGCTTTGTTAAATATGCATTGAAATATTTTTCGAATCTCTTTTCTATCAGGTGACCAATCTTCAAAGCGCTCTCATACGCCGACGAATAGCAATGACCAGCAACGAGGAGACCGTACAGTATCTGTGTTGAGTCCATTTGATGAACAAGAAGAATGGAATAAAATCTCAGAAATTATGGCCTCTTTTGGCACTGGTTTAGTACGAGAGTCTGTATTTGTTACAGAATTAGAAAAAGAATTCCAAAGCAGGCTGGGTATCGGTTCACAACCGACCACTCCGTTGCCTTCACCTCTTATCTCTTCAGGTACTTTCTCATGATTTAATTTTCAATTACCAGTATTACTAACCAGTGTTTAATTTTTATAGGAAACTCGCCTGCTCCATTAGGTATGTGGCTTAGAGGATTAGGAATGGAAAAATATGAAAGTAATTTTATAGATTCTGGATTTGATAATGTTGAATTCATGGTAAGTGATGCTTAATTCTAACATATTTAACGATGAAGTTTATACAAAAATATTATTATTCGATGAAGTTTATACAAAAATATTATTATTCTGTTGTAGAATGGACTTTTATCAGAAGCAGACCTTTTTGAAATGGGTGTCGTGGATCCTGAAGAAATCGCAGTGCTTATGAAAGCTGTGAGCGAATTGCCAAAGCCTACACCTCCAATCAAAATAACATCTAATAGTAGTAGTGAAAATAACAACGGTACATCTATGGCTGTGCAGAATTGGTTAGAGTCAATAAAACTAGGAGAGTACGCTGAGACGTTTAGGAAACATATGTACACGGATATGGAACGAGTGAGTATATTTTCTTGAATTCATGTTTCGCATAAAATTAAAATTGCTGATTGGTTTATTTTGTTGTTTACAGATAGGGCGCGTGTGGGAAGTAGAACTTTCGGCTGTGCTAGATATCGCAAAAACTGGTCACCGAAAGCGGATATTACATTCGCTGTCTGGAACACAATCTCCTCCTGGACCCAATATGGATGAAATCGCTCAAGAGCTTTCACAAATGGTAATTATGGATAATGATCTTTGCATACTTTACTACAAAACGTGACTTTACTTATTAAGGGGTACAACTAGTGTGAAATTTTCAAAAAATTGAATTTTCAATTCTTCCATATTTCGATAGGTTATACCTTTAAAAATAACATACCAAAATTTTAAATCGATATCTTAAATAGTTTTTGAGTTACAGCCATTTAAAGAGTATATATATAGTATATAGTATAACGATCACTTAATCTTTAAACGCGTTTTTCTCGAAACAGCATTTTCCGAATTTGCTGCAGCGATTACTCAAAAACAAATGATTCGATCACTATCAAATTTTTTTTACATGTTCTATATATAGTTCTCCGTAAAATGAAGTATCGATTTTTTGATCGGATCAAAAATCGAATTTTGGCAGTCTAAAAACTACCAAAATTTTGGGTAAAATTCGACTTTTTTTTAAAAAACGCCGTCATTTTGTCAATTTTTGATTTTTTTCTTTATCATAGTTCATTTTACAGACAATATTATCTAGTTTAACGAGATTTTTTTTTTAATTTCATTCATGTAGAAGGCCGGAATCACTGCAGCAGTGAAGGGCTTTTTTTGTCGCGCCGTTGGAGATCGACGATAACTTAAAAAATATTAAATTTTTTTCTTCAAAAATGTTACTATGTATTTTTAATACATGTATAAATATATTCCTAAAATTTTGAAATGATTGATAATGTAGTTTTTTTAATATAAATTCCCAAAAATCACCTTTATTTTAGGCGGTTACACTAGTTGTGTCCCTTAATCGATCAAAATGATTTTTGTGTCTGCAGAAAAACAATGGACATCATCACCAACCGACGAGCACCGTTTCTTCTTCGAGCACTGCTCCAAATCTTCGAACGATTAAGGAGGATGCCACCAGGCCTGCGACTTCTTCGGAGTTGGTTACGACGAACGTGACTGTGCCAGCGAGTACACTTTCACGGCACAGTCATCGCAAATCGCGTCCTGCTCCTCAGCCGCCGGTGCCGGCAGAAGAACTGGAGATTCGTGCTCCATCAGAACTTTTGTTGGGAGTGCCAAGCGCTTTGCGGACACAGTGGAGACATACCCCGTACACTTTGCTTAACGGATCAGTGGCTTATTCTGCATTTGTGAGTAAAGAAGTTTTATTTTTATCATGTTATATTAAGTGTATGGTAGTAAAATAATATCGCCAATTTGTCATATGGTAAGCAAGATACATCCGTGCTGATAATTTTCATATCTACATTTGTTGTTTGGATTATAGTAGGACAACTCCAATATATAAGTTGCAATGTTTAGTGGGTCGAATATAACCGTGAATGTACCCTAAATGGTGCGTAAATAATGCTCTAATACAGTGGTTTCCAACCTTTTTTGCATCGCGCCCCTCTGCTCTAATAAAAAAATGTTGCACCCCCAAATTTTTTCAACGTTTTAATTTTATAAATACTCAACTGATATTATCTGACGACAAATTAATATGCAATATTATGTTAAAATATGCAGAAAAACTAATTATTTTTTAATGAATATTTCGTGCATGCATCTTTTCGCATATAATTATTGAGCAAGAGATTACAACTTGTACGTTCGGTAAATTGTGGTTATTCAGATACATATTGGTGTTTTTTTGTTTTTTTTTTTAATGGCCCGACTAAACTAACTAAAATCTAACGAGTAATGTTTATTAATTATTATTTATTACATATGGTAAGAACATCACAACACATAACACGTATTAAATAAACAACTATCGAACTATGTTCAGACAAAAAAATCAGTTAATTCCCAATAATGGAAATAAGTTTTTCATCATTTTTTTTAAATGTGTTATTTGTCTCCACCCATGGGGTAAAAAGGGGAAGCCAGGGTGCAAACAAATCGAATGTCTTATTAAATTCCCTTATGGTAGTTATAGTAATGGGCTGAAAATCGAAAATGAAATTTTTTGCATTTCTCCACGTTTGAAGGTTTCTGAACATTTTCGCATACCTCAGAAAAAATTGATGTGTATGTGTGTGTCTGTTTTGTGTCCGCATTTTTCGTTCACGTTTTCGGGCGCACGGATCAACCGATTTGAATGGCTCGAAAAACATTCGATTCTTATTGATAGGGAGATGTGCTGATTAGTTTTTAGCAAAGCCAGGTCCAGTCATTTAGAAGATACAGGGCCAAATGTACAAAAAATGACAGTTTTTGGGAGAAATAAGCATCCGATTTGAATGATTCAAAAAACTTTCTGGTAGTGTTGACGAAATAGTTGCTTTTGGAAAAAAAAATTAATTTTTTTTTTTAATTTTTTTTTTTGAATATCGAAAATAGTTGAGATTTCAAATTTAATTTTGGTTAAAGTTCTAAAGCTCACTTATAAACTTTAAGTGAATAATTTTAACTTTGTAATTCAGTTTATATAATTCTTATAAATATTAGAAAACGTTACAGTATTTTTAATAATCTACTTGAAAACATTTAATATTCCTCGAACATTTTGTTGTGGTACGGGAAGTTCCAACAATTTGCCTTGAGGCACGATTCCATATACCACTCGTTTCTAATTTTACTTCATGTCTACGAACCCGAAATAAAAATTTTATGGGCACAATTTTTACAAAGAACACACCATAGTGGCACTTTGTCTGAAATATTCAAAAGCAGAGTTGAAATAACTATTAATTTATTTTCTTTAATTTTATATCTCTTGTAAAATTACTATTGTAACGCAATTTATTTTTAATTGTAAAGGGTTAGTTGGTCCTTTTCGCCCAAACCATGTGTAAGCTTTTATAGAGGGCGTTATATACAGAAAAAACTGTTGAATCTAAATTAAAATTAATAATACGTCTTATAAAAATAATCATGAGCTAAATATCAGAGCTCAAACCCCGCTCAAACCTTGCAAACCATATTTAAATCTATTCTTAAGCTAACGGTAATCAGTTTTGTGACTGAGATTTCCAGCATAATTAATTTTAATTGATTTTACTAGTATAACAATAATTAATCAACTAGTCTGGTGTGTAGACAATTCGATAGTGACAGAATTTAATTCGCTATGACCATCGATAAATATGTGTCAGTTCTCACAATAAGATTGACTTCAGTCGTAAATCTGATGTACTATGAAGTTTTGTGATTCGGACATATATGGGTCTACTCTATAACGTTGTATATTGTTACTGCGGTAGACATTCACATCGGTAATGGTTCATGGCTTATTGATAATAGCTAGCTATAGTTAATCCGTTTGCCATTAATCCTGATGGATTCACGCTTATTGGTTTTAATCTACGCGCGCTGCAATGCGTCAAGTGAATTTACGGCCTTCAGTGGAATGATCTCCGAATACTATTGCATCTGGGGTATTAGCTCACATAGTAACAATTGGGAATTTGAAAAAAAAAAATATATATTTATTTTTATGCGCTTTAAAACTACATTATTAAATTTATTGATATGTGAAAGAAAAAACAAAAAAAATGTTTTTTCAATTAGTTATGAGCGTTTAAAAATTGATTAAATTCAAAAGTTAGTCATGTGACCGTTAACGGCTACCGTGCCTGTGACGTCACATTGTAATTGCAGCCACACAACAGCGCAGTGCCGTTACTCTATTAGTGCAGTTCTTACGACTATATTTTACGGAACTTGATAAACACGTGGTAAATTTTCTTTTAAAAACGATTTGTTGAAGTTAATTTAGTTCAACTATGTGTGATAAAGGATTTATAAAAGCAAATTCTGATAATGTTCCTAATATTGATATATTTATGGTAGCCGAACTTTTAAAAAATGATGTTCGGTTTAATTCTGCGGAAGTTCGAGACGCCAAGGCATTGATGTAATAAGTCTGTTAAAAAATATTATAAATCACAATATTTAAGTATTAATTTTATATTGAATTAAATTACCTAATAAATTAATTTTAGAGCATCGCGTGAAAGTTACGGCGACAAAGCTGTGGGTTATGCTCAACTTAGTCGTAAAAATGAAATTTGTATTTTAAAAGCACGTGTATCTCCAGAAAATCGAGTTCGAAGCAAAGCCTTTTTAGTTACATTAACAATTAATGAGTCAAAAATCACGCTCATCTTCGATATAATATATGTCACAAAAAACGCGTGGTACACTTTTTTGCCGAAGGGCAAAATAAACTTAAAGTGTAATGCTCAAATGCAACTGCAATTGTTAATGACAGGTAAAAGAAAGGAAATCTTTTGTGTTGCCGATCAAAACTTTGAAGACAATCAAAAAATTTATGTTAGCGTATTGATATATGATGATGCAAACACTCAAGATCTCATTAAAAAATGTATAGTATTCTGGTTCAAAAATATATACTCAAAGCTGTTCAACTCTGTACAAAGTTAATAAAGTTAAAGTCTTAATTAGTTATTATTCAATATATTTTGATGATATGATACAAATGCAATAAACGATAAAGGTATAATAAATAAATAAAATAATAAATATATGAAATATACATTTAGCCATTTCTTTTGTCATGAAAATATTCTTAAATATTCTTCTTCTTATTCTTTTAAATTTAACTTGAAATTATAGGTTTTTGTAAATTCATTAGTGCTGCTGCGATGATAACAATGAAGTCTACAACAGCGATAACATTTTACATTTGACATTTTTTTATATATTTTTGAATATTTAACAATGACAGAACGATATTATACAAAGCTCAAAGCATAGCGCATGTTCAAAGCTGTATACTACTATGATCACCCGTAACAGTATGACGTCACACGCGCTTGGCTTCGTTCGGGATTTGTCGGCGCTCTTCGGTACCGAATTCAAAACTCAAATTTTAATTTGGTATAACTTTTTAATTATTGCGAGAAAAAGAAAAAGAAAAAACTTTGTTATAAAACTTGTATATGATCTTTCCATTAAAAAAATAAAAAAAAATTATTCAAATACCTAATTATAGTTGCTAACCAATTTTTTTTATAAACCACAAATTCTATTCATGTTTTTTCAAAGATTTTAGCTTGATTCGTGTTGATTTGATTAGTGTGACTTATAGAGCATAACATGATTATTGCATGTGCGAGCTTTTAATATTATATCTGGATATGGAATTATGTTGTAACGATTAATGTATGTAATTTTAAATGCATCTATTAATTCCGGGTTACTCTAAATGCAGTTGATGTGTAATAATATGTATTGTTTCAATATTCAGTATATATATATATAAATTCAATATTACAGTTTTGTAACACAATAATAATCGTTTAACAGATTCTAATAATCTAACGAAAAGTAGAATTTTCTCTATTTGAATTCAATAACTATATATACAGCAGTGTCGCTTGTACCGAAAGGGTTAAATTGCTTCACTCGTAGCGATTAAACTGATGTATATTTTTATTGTAAGAGAGACTCTTAGAATCAACTAAACATTAGCATGATTATTGCTTTCTTGTTTTCTTTATTTTTTAAGAATTTTGAACAGCTATCTATATTTCATAATCGAATAAAAGTAACAGGTTAAGTGGGTAGAAAGGTCTAACACCGATATCTCAACAAGTTAGGAATTGTTTTACCAACAATATTTGGAAGTAAAGGGAATAAGATGTATATCCATTCATCACCATTCTTACAAAATCAGTATCGGGAGATAAACGGCCACCTTTGAAAATCCATAACAAAAGTATTTTCTTTTGTTGTTAGTTTTTTTTGGTTGTGAGCGCTTTTGTTTAGATTGCAATATCCGAATATAATTATTTGCGAAATTAATTGTTTGATAAGATGTATTGTTAATTTTAAGTTATATTCAACAGTTTTTTTGTATAATAACCTCTGTAAAAGCTTGCACGTAGGTGGGGTAAAATGGACCAACTAAACCTTTATCCTGGCAAAGTTGTAAATAATGAAAAAAAGTAAATAAAAAAATATTAAAATTAAGTTAAAACTAGCAATTCTACAAGGCATAAATTAAATTAATAGTTATTCTAACTCGGCTGCTGAGTATTTTTGGACCAGATACCAGATCAAGGTCATATACATTGTTATCTCTGTAAAAATGTACCGATAAAATTTATATTTTGCTTTGATTGAATAATGTGGCTATTATTTCGTAAAACCCATTTATAATTAAAAATAAGATAGTGGACCTATTTGCCTCGTGGTCGTCCTATTTCACCCTGCCGATGGGGTAAATAGGACCAGGTGACAAATTTTTGAAAAACAGCAAAAAAACACAATTTTTCAATGATTATCTACAATTGGCTGAGAGTTTTACTGAACATAGTCAGATAGTTGTTTGTTTGATAGGTGTTATTTGTTATGATATAATTGGTTTGGTGTTCACGATATAATTGTTTAATTTGGACCTTTTTGCCCCGCATTCTCTATATAGTATCTTTCTAATTTTTGTGATCATCTTGGTTTATTTTGGTAAAAGATAGATTTAAAGAAATATAAATACCAAATAACATTTATACTTTATTAGTCAAGCTATTCATATATATGTATGTATGTATGTATATGTATGTTTTTTTTTTTTTTTTTTTTTTTTTTTTTTTTTTTTTATATAGAGAAGGAAAAATCTTTCAAAGACACGCGTGTGTTTAAAAGATGATGGACGGTAGTGTGGGATTTCCACCCACTAAAAAACCTCCTCTCCTCATTTCCCCGCATATGATCACGAGGAAGACTGGGTCGGTACCGCGTTAGCATTTCTTCAACCCAGTCCGTGTTGCGTCACGTGACGTTAGCTCCTGTGTATATGTATGTATGTATGTATGTATGTATGTATGTATGTTGTATGTATGCATGTATGTATGTATGTATGTATGTATGTATGTATGTATGTATGTTTCATAATAATATATTCAGAAAATTGAATTTGTATTCGAAACTTTTAACTGGCACTATTTGAAGTTAATGCTATTTATATAAAATTATAAAATGTTATTTATTAATTAAGCCATTTTCAGCCCCGTAGTATTTAGTAAGAATATTTACATTTTCCAAATTTATTAAAAAGACCTAAAGATAAAGTAATATTTTCGAAGAAAATGAGTGTTTATGAGGCACATTTTATAATGTATCATAGTACTTTTTATGACTTTTATATACTACTAACGAGTATACTAATGTATCTATAAATCATTTCAATTATTTCAGTATATGGGGTCGACGCTTGTGAAAGAGTTACGCGGCACGGAATCGACGCGTAAATCTATGCAGAAGCTAAAAGCATCAGCGGCCGCGCCCGACACGCGGCTTCACAACTCGCCGCCCGTTAGGCTTGCCATTTCGCACCGAGGGGTGCAATTCATTAACCCACAAACCGATGTAAGAATCATTATTATTATTATAACTATTACTGTTACTATTCGATTTCCTACATTTATTTATGCAGTAATATAGTTGCTTTGAAAAAAGTGGCAAATTAGCACTAATTGTCAAATCATGTTTTAACACAATTTTTTGTCTTTGTCTTTAAAACTACTCGATTTTGATATTATATGTAAAGAATTTTATAATGACTTATGTACTTTATTATAAATTTTCAGATTTATTTTATTATTGATGCTTTTAGAAATAAAGCTTTCATATTTGGCATTTAATGTTGATACAAATATATAAGAGCAACTTAAGAATATTTTTTTCCACATATCTCTAATAATAAGTTCTAAATTTTCAGAATTAATAAATATCGGTAAAAAGAGCAAAATTTTATAATAACTTAACAATTTCGATACTAATTTACATTTTCTGTCTATTTTTTACAGGCCATAATTTGCGAACATGCTATCAGAAACATCCACTGCGCTTGTCAAGACGCTGACGATTTGTCACACTTCGCTTACATTACTAAAGACTCGGACAATCGTACGCACTATTGTCATGTTTTTCATGTGGATAGCATGGTAAGTTTTAAAAAATACTTTAAATAAATTCGTGTAAAAAACTAGACAAAAGTATCGAGTTCAAAGATAACGCTTTGTAGATTTTCATTTGATACTTACGTAATTTCGTGTAATACATGTATCTTTTTTATTATTTTAAAAATAATATTCGGACACATTGTCTTTTGGTGCTTTAAAACAATAACAGCAATTTCTTAATTTTATAAATAGAGAAAATACGGACAAAATGCCATGTGTGAACAAAATGACACAGTAGCTTTATTTAAATATTGGTTAATTTTAGTAACATTTTCGCGACTGTGTAACACGAAGAAAGCCATAATTACAATCCTGTCAGATGTTGAGCGTCAGAGTCTTATCGCAGTAATCAGTTCAAACGTAAATCTTGCTTTCAAAAATTTATTTGGATTTTTTGGTCGTATATATTGATATTTGTAATAATTTTTATTAAAATCAAAGAACTTATGCTAGTACTAGTGATTTCATCAATTTTATTGCTGTTATCAGATGTTTGATGTAATTTTGATTATTTATTCATTTTTGTTCACTTTTGGACAAAATGACGTAGTTATACAATAGACAAAATGACATAGTACTATTTTGCAAGAATAAATGGTAGTTCATTCGAGGCTGAGTAACGACAAGAAAAAAACAAGGAAAATTGAAACTTGTCAAAGGCTTTTAACTTTAATCACACTAAATCTAATTACTTCTAAAATCAGACCAAATGATCCACTGGTAAAAAGAAGAGACTTGCATTTGTTGCAAAATCTTATTTTTCCGTGTTGAGCCCGGCGAAAGTTGATTTCGATGTACAAAGTGATTTGCTTCCTTTGGGGCCATGCATTATTAGTCCAAGAGCCCGTGGGCGGATGACAGTATGTATTTTACGACACCTGAGATTTTGTGCATCGATTCCTCTATACCTATCCTACATGAAATGGGGACTGACTAAGCCCAAAGTGGCGGACACAGCTACTGCGCAGCTGGTAAAGGTACCTTTTTTTCGCCCATATCCGAACCATTTTACGACGGTTGCCGTTTCGAAAATTTGAAAATATAATATTATTACTATCGTAAAATACCAATGGCAGACGATTATCGCGCGGTTAACATGGTAGCAGACGATTTTGAAAATGCAGAAAAAAAATTTTTTTGAATGTATTTTACGATGTCTGCCATTTACATATTTTATTCCTTATAGTATCAAAACCTTATATTTATCACGGCAGACGTGTACCTGGTGGACCAACATCAGCAGAGTTAAAAAACTCAGCTACCATTTGGCCTGATAGTATGCATAAATCTCCATGTTTTATACCGATATAAGCAATTCTTTCATAATGATAATAGAAATTAATATTTGTTAGTTTATATGTGACATTTAATAATGTTGATGAGCGGAAAAAAGATTTTTTACGCTAAATTCGTAAAGATTAAAGTATACAAACGATAACAACAATTATTGTAATATTTATTCTATTTTTTTTATTTATTTTAGTCTAATTTCAAAATATTGTATAAAAATAAAGTTATACAATATTATATATATATATATATATATATATATACTTTCTTTATTTATTATAATCTCGGAGCCATATCTCGCTTTTGATGATTCCTTATCATCCGCTGAATCAGATTCTATAAAATAATAAATCAGATGTAAAATAAAAATTATTTGAAAATCCAACTGAAGATGTTTGATAAAGACGAGATTCTCCGATCATACTTTAATGCGCCCAACAATGTTGGTTGCTTGTTATAGATATTATTCCTAATATAGTTATAGTGGGCCCTTAAAAATTGTTGATAAAACACGAGATTGAACTTGCACCAAAATTTAGAATTTTTTCTGCTGAATTGTTCATTGACGTTGTAAACTTTATAGTTATTAATGAATAGTTTGTACCGTCCAAGAACCACGTCATTTAGGTCTTTTTGCATTATATATTTGGCAAATATCTTAGGTGGTTTCCTGTTAAATTTTCTTTTTTGCTAAACCGAGTGTAGCAAACCCTTGTTGAAGATCGATATTTTTTATTTAAATTTTGTTAATTTATTTGAATTTCTGAGACTGTCAATTATACAATGATAATCACAAATGTCCAATCGTGTGTTGTTGAAGATTTTTGTTGTACTTCACATGAAGAACCTGACACAAACATTATCAATCACGCGCGTAACATCGCTGAGCATATCGTTGCAATATTCCTATTAGAGCCTTCGATACTGCAAAATATCAGTATAATATTGGTAATATGAATTGGTAATATGACATAACTAAGAAATATAGTAATTCAAATATTTGGATGCTAAATGGGGTTGAAAATAGAGATATATTAACATCACGAAGCGAACTGGTTAGTTATTTGCCAGAATTTCAATTTGTTGTCATGCTTTTACTGGTTCTGATTTCAATCCAGCCTTCTTTAACAAAAAAAAGACCTTACAATTCTCTGAAAAAAATCGATCTTCAACAAATGTTTGCTACACTTAATAAAGAACCCACATACAATATCTTTTTAATACTATTCAGCTTAATTTTTCAAGTATGGTCGGAGAATCTCGTCTTTATCAAACATCTTCAGTTGGATTTTCAAATAATTTTTATTTTACATCTGATTTATTATTTTATAGAATCTGATTCAGCGGATGATAAGGAATCATCAAAAGCGAGATATGGCTCCGAGATTATAATAAATAAAGAAAGTATATATATATATATATATATATATATATAATATTGTATAACTTTATTTTTATACAATATTTTGAAATTAGACTAAAATAAATAAAAAAAATAGAATAAATATTACAATAATTGTTGTTATCGTTTGTATACTTTAATCTTTACGAATTTAGCGTAAAAAATCTTTTTTCCGCTCATCAACATTATTAAATGTCACATATAAACTAACAAATATTAATTTCTATTATCATTATGAAAGAATTGCTTATATCGGTATAAAACATGGAGATTTATGCATACTATCAGGCCAAATGGTAGCTGAGTTTTTTAACTCTGCTGATGTTGGTCCACCAGGTACACGTCTGCCGTGATAAATATAAGGTTTTGATACTATAAGGAATAAAATATGTAAATGGCAGACATCGTAAAATACATTCAAAAAAAATTTTTTTCTGCATTTTCAAAATCGTCTGCCACCATGTTAACCGCGCGATAATCGTCTGCCATTGGTATTTTACGATAGCAATAATATTATATTTTCAAATTTTCGAAACGGCAACCGTCGTAAAATGGTTCGGATATGGGCGAAAAAAAGGTACCTTTACCAGCTGCGCAGTAGCTGTGTCCGCCACTTTGGGCTTAGTAAGTCCCCATTTCATGTAGGAAAGGTATAGAGGAATCGATGCACAAAATCTCAGGTGTCGTAAAATACATACTGTCATCCGCCCACGGGCTCTTGGTCTATATGTGATAATGTCGCAAATAGGATCAAACAATTTATTTGTGAACTGCCTTCTTAAAAATTAACATCTCAGTATGTGTCCTTACACTACATGTCATTTTTGTCATACTGTATGGACAAAATGGAATGGTTTTTGTAATCGGTTGCATTTTTCCTTAGTGAATATGTTTTTATCGTTCCTCTTTAATTGAAACACTATGTTACTAGTAATCTAATTTGAGTCCAATCGGATTAGCCGTTTTCGAGTTATGTTGGTCACCGATTTTGAAAACATCATTTCGAGAAAAACGTTTGGAAAGCAAATTACATGGGATAAAAAAATGTTTTTTTTTTATCTTTCATGGAATCATTTGTTCCAGAGCCATATAAGAGACCCTCCACCGAATTGGAAATTTCTAATAACTCGAGCTGATGTCGCCTGCGAGCCATTCTTTCAACTCAGGTGCTCTATCGCGCTCGATGATCTGAAATTATCTCGCGCTGAGTATCTTTTTTTCGGCATATGAATGCCTATTGAGCTCAAATTGTAAATTATCTTGCCTTCATATAAATCAATAGTGATTCCAATCCTTTATTAAATATGCCGGTGGTTAATGTATGCATCGTTTTTCTCAGTTTTCAAACCGGTCGGAAAAATTTTTACATTTCACATATTCGGAAATTGATTTAAACACGGTTATAAAATTTGGAATGCAATACTAAACAGTCAATTCACGTGTAACTAAGGTTTCATCATGGGGGGCAAACATAGAACAAATGACCTTTTTATCGTATTAGTATTCCGCTCCTGCGATAGAGGGTTTTACTGTTCCCAAATTCAAAACTAACGTCGTTTTTCGGCCAACGCGTACATCAAACCTGCAGGACTATTGTACGGTGCTACTCGATAACGACCGATTACGAACGAATACTTCAGAAAAACAAAAGAATTAATAATAATTTTCAATATGGCGAAGTGTCACGTACCACACTGTCAAAAAAATGTTGAATTAAATACAGTTCGTAAAGATAAAAAATTCTAGCAGGGTACTAACAAAAGCCGCATGCGTTAAGAAACTGTGCTGTAAAGCTATAGAGGATTTGAGGCACGTTTGAAACAAAAAGAAAGTGATTCCAGAATTTTATTATTTATGTAGCACAAATTTTAATCAAGATCCATTGCAGATTTTTTGGAAGAATAAGGGTCGGAGATGTTCAATTTTCTGAATTCTTTATATTGTTTGTTGTTAATAACTGGTGCAATACTGTGAAACGATTTCTCTCAGGAAAATATATAAATGAAAATGAATTGGACCCCATGAAAAAGTAGCTCTCGAAAAGTACAAGAAAAGTCTCAAGGCCAATAAAACTCGACTGAGGCAGAAAAAACCCGTACATTTTTCTGCGAATGTTAGAAAATCTTGTCTATTTATTAATAATTGTATTTTATTTAAATTATGTAAATATCTTTTATTGATATATTTTATTATTTATATTTAATTATTGCTTAAATATTAATTTTATTTCATTTTTAAAAATGTTTTTAATATATATGAAAATATATTTTTTATGAGTATGTTTTGTTATCATTTGATATATTAAAATTTCAGATTTATTGTAACAATATTATATATAAATTTATCTTAGAATTAAACCTAGGGATTTGGATTTATCTAGAATTGAACCTAGGGGTAAATTTTCATGCTACACTCGTCGCGCCTCTATAGCAGGAGCGGAAAATTAAAGTCAAAATAATCGAAAAGCGGGCCGGTTTGCTATCTATTTATACTTGTTTATCTATGGGTTTCATGTAGTTTTTTAAATTTTTTCGCCCAAACACCAACTACTTTCTTCCGTCTCAACCGTGTTTTTCTTTTCAAATTTGCGTGTAACCTCGAATATATTTACCAGAATGATATGAAATTTTTGTGTATATTCTTAAATTTATGTATATTCAGAAAATAAAATTTAAAAAGATCAATTTTTAGAACATCCTACCTATATAACTCCTTAAAAGAAATTACATACCTTATAACTTGTGATGCATCTGTAAAGCCTCTATATGGTATTTGTGATTTATGTATTTCAGGACCAGGCCACGGAGATCATTCTAACTCTCGGCCAGGCCTTCGAAGTGGCTTACCAGCTCGCCCTGCGCGAGAGCAACTCGAAGAACATGCAGCCAATAACTCCGGTTCGCTCGGCGATCGCCACGTGCCACAGCCCTCGGGCGCCCATCGCAACCGAGGAACACCTCTAGTTGCGAACATTACTGATCGTAGTAAGTTTATCCGTTGATATTTATTATATAAATAAATAAATATATATAAATAGATATATTATAGTATAATAAAGAAAATCTTAATATATTAAATATATTAAAATATCAAAATATATATTATAAACAATTTTAAATGTTTAACATTTACAATTGTGTTAAGATTATTAATTAGATTGAATAGGATTGTTTGTGATGTCCAAAATAAAAGCTGCTTGATAACGTATATTATTAAGAGATTAAGAGAAAATTATAACTATATATCTACCGACAACAAACCAAATTGTTCGATATTATTTATGACTGAAACGTGCAATAATTGAAATATCATATCGCAAATGTACGAGTGTTATAAATCGTTTAAATGTGAACGCACAAGTATTTATTGTTTATTAATTCCTGTTCCAAGCATTTATCGTCAAATGCACAAATTTTTTTACGGCTCAAGATGCAATTTGTGGAATTGTGTATCAGGGAATTAGTTTGAAATATTTTCTACAGCCATTACTCTACTTTTATAACGATATAACTTACAATAGATTTTAAAGTCTAATACTATACACCACTTATATAAGAAACTTAAGCTTAGTTTATATTGTAAATGAATTAGTAGACGTTGAACTAATATCGGTATTTATAATATGAATGATATTTACTGACAATAGATTTGTATTTTGCGGATACTGATAGTGAAAAACGCATATTGAAATATTTAATAATAATTTTATGAAATTGTTATAATCAAAATAAAAAATTCTTATATCAATTTCAACAGCATAATAATTGACTTTATATGCTATTCAAAACGGATGGCATTTCAAAACATTTTCACTTGGTTCTGCGTTAAGGCAAAAAGGTTCATATTTTAACCCTTTGCATTCGGCTTTCCCTTCTTATGAGATATGATAGTTAATTATTCCACCGCAAAATTTTAAGAAACACGTGTTCTCTCTCTTGGCGCTTTCTGTTAAAATGGGACAAAGATTTACTAGAAAATTTTTAAAATTAGCAAGACGCAATATAAATAAAAGAACCGTTTTACACTTCGAAAAAGAATGTGATTTTTATTTTAAACTATTAATTATGAATAAACGCCTGGCCAATCTTTGCCAAAAACTAACCGGCACGATTCCCAAATGATACCTTTCGATCGGTATTTAAATTTTCGGAATCGGTTCAGAATTTTTTGCTAGTATATTAAAAACATAAACTTTCCCTTCGGGATTTAATTTTTTATGACAGATATAAAACTTATTTTATTTACTGTGCAATATTACTGTTTCCAGGATGTAGGTAACGTCTGAAACGGTGCAGAATGCAAAGGCTTAAATTATTAAGGGTGGTCCATCTAGAGGTCCTAGTGATCTAGTGATCTAGTGATCTTACGGTTTAGATATTTCTGTAAAGAAAACATATAAAGTATTATACATCGTTAGAAGGTCTCAAAATTCTTAGTTTTTTCCCAAATATCGCAACTTTGAATTCCGCACGGTGTGGCCTACAGGCAAGTTGCTTTCGATAAATTCCAATTTTTAAATGGGCCACCCTATATTTTGCCATGAATATCGTTGAAAAATTAGGTTGTTTATATACAAATTTGTTGTCAGAAGTTATTAAATCCTATTATTAAAACTGATTTCCCCTTAACGCCTGCTCTAAAATACAAGAACGCTATCGCGTTCGTATTTCCTACACAGAAGGAGCGTCCCATTGTGAAGCGTTCAATTATTATCACTGTATAAACTCCAAAGTGTTATATTCCAGTACAAAACCTTACAACTAGATTAGAACGATGCTTTTTATCAATATCTTCTTTTCAATATACCTAAAATTTTATGAGTAATGGTCCAAAGAATTTCCATTTATATAGACATCTTTAGATATTCTGTAAGAGACTTTATATGATATTAACACTATTTACATGAGTAAACTATTAAGAAAAATATGACATTATACATAAGTAGACCGCTTTGTGAATTATGACAGAAACTTACATTTCATAACCACTTCAAATTGCTTTGTAATCTTAGCTGAAAAATTCATTATCTATATCATCTAGTCAAGCAAATATATATCTGTATATTTACTGCAAACTAATTTGACTAATATACAAAAATGTTACCCGAATTATACGTAATGTATTTTTTGTGCTATATGACGTATTTGAGCTTATGGATAAATATATATTCTAGCCACGTAAAATATTTTTATCATAAATAACCTGTGCTCAAATAGAAATTTTAGAAATTAAAAAGGATTATTTTGGAAAAAGAACTTTACTCAGAAACATTTTCTTGTTAGATAAAATTAGTTTTTGTTGTTTATGACATGTTAACGTCTATGCAATTTTACTTGTGCTGTTGAAAATTTTTGCGTATTATTTTGCAAGATATAAGGACTTGGTAATGAATTTATTGAAACCGACATATATAGGGAATAGCGAAGCGAAGTGTAACTACCATGAAATAGTGTCAAATTTATTTATATTTGTTTTTGCAAAAATGTCGACGAATACGAGTACTAGTATTTAAAACCGCCTGTTCTTCAACTGAAAAATTCATCTTTTTTATTGAAATCATCTTGAAATCAACTAAATTAGAAAGATGAACTTCGCTACGAGAGTGTTTTCCGCAGAAGTATCGCTGCTGTACGGGAAGGCACAACGATATATTTTAAGATATTTCTATCATTATCAATAAAAATGTGTCAAAAAATTGAAAAATACTCGTCTAACTAGAAATTACAATAAAAGACAAGAATTCTCAATACTTTAACTCATAGTTATAAATCTTGGAGCAAATACAAACACAACATGTCGTCCAAGGTATACGCAGCACTACATGTCGATGTCGTCCATAGACGACATTTGTAGCGAAAGGGTTAATTACCGTTTATTATGATTAGTATATTATTCTTTTACAGTATTTATATTGCTTACTCATTTTAACGTTGTCTTGAACTTGAAATGCTCGCAACTTTTAACGATTTAAATGTTAATTAAAAAAAATAAAAGTTGAAGCTTATAATATAAACGTGCATATTGACCCCTATATTGTTTTATCGATTTTTGCTAAATACCTAACCAAACTTTATTAACCAGTTAACTGTGGCGCGCTCATCGAATTGAGCCATGACGAGTATATTCGTCAATCGCTTATGGTGAGAGATCGGATGAAAAAGATGGGTTTATTTTACAAAATTGAACTTTAGTAATAAATTTTACTTTTCTGGTTAACCTAAGCATATACGGTAGACTCTCGCTAATCCGATACTACTAAGAACTTGAGGGTGTCAGATTACTGGAAGTTCGGATTACTGGATTATATTGAAAGTCATAATTTTTAACATACGATATTGGAAATAACGTTAAAATTTCCAAAAAAAAAAATCGGTTCCGAGGGTCTCGTATTACTGGTGGTGCTGATCTATCGAATAAATTCTGTTGAATATTATGCATATAAATTTAAGAATTCATTGATACGGGCATTATAGAATAATATACGAAAACTAGTTTAATTATAAAAATGTATTAAAGTTTGGAATTAGTACGCTTAGCACATCCGTTCTGTGTTTTGTACTGATCACCGTTGACGTGCACTCTTAAATACAATGCATTTTTAGAATAAGTATCAATTAACAAGTAAAAGATATCAATTGCAAATTGCATTTTTAGTGAAAACCAAACAATTTTCAGAATAAACATTTCAAAATTTTATCTAAATACCTAAATCTCAATTTTTTTGGTTAAGTCGAATATTCATGCAACTTGCTTTAAGGTGAGATGCCACTTACAACTACGCATTTTATACCGTCCTAGCCTCAAGATTTCTAAACATTTTAAAATTTGAGAATATATTTTGTTTATATCCAAATATTGCTATTTAAATAGACCATGGTCACTTATTTATACGCATGACAAATATTCTCCGGCAATACATCAAATTCCGCCACTTCTGCATGACGAGTATACTCGTCAACCACAATTAACTGGTTAATTTTATTATGATATTATAAATTTGCATATGTAATGTATAAAAGGCATATAAAATAGAATAAGATGATATTACAATTGAGAACTGTTTATTATTAAATACCAAAATTTGACCGAAAACGCTGAAATGTATAGTTACACGTCGCATCGCATTTTTGTATGTCGGTCCACGGAATTAAGACAGATGTAATATAATTTTATTATTTTTATTTCGTGATTTTTATGTATTATACATAGTAAGCGTGATTTATTTCTAATTATTTTGCCAAGAGCAAAATGTGTATTATTATCTACCTTTATTCTAATTTTATATTCATATATTTTATCTAGTTTTATTGATTTTAATACAGCGTTGCTGTGATATTATTGTATATTGAAATATATTGTAAAACTGATATTTGTAACAGATGCAGAAAATGTGCCCAAGAGAAAGATTTTGACAATCTCTTTTTTTTAAACATTCCTTTCTCAAACTGTAATGTGTCATTTATATTTGCATACTGATACAAGTATGGTTTTACATAATTTGTAGTTAATTTTATTCTGAATTGTCATAAAATTATTAGTACTGAAAGTTTACTCGTTGTTGCTTCTGTTATTTTTGTTTTTAGTGATGTAAGTCTGAGAATGAAATAAAATTTAAGTCTGAGCAGCTTTCTAGGAACGAATTGATAATATATTACGTTTTATTTAGTTGTTAAAGCAATGCGAAGTATTTGATGTACTTTTATATAATTTTACCAAATTTTTTGGCAACTATTTAGTTTTAATTGAATATATGACAAGCACATGGCTAATGAATTTTATTTAAAAAATAATTCTTTGGATATTTTTTGCTAATAACTTGGCATGTTTAAATGTAGAAAGGTCCAATGTAGCTTTGAGAATATTTGCACAAATATCTTAACATTGTACTCATGAACTATTTGATATTTTATATAGTAAACATTTCATATATATATGGCCAGAATAGGTTTCCAAAATTGTATTTGATCTCGATGATATTAAGGCTTAAATTAATTAAAATATGTTTATGTGTA